AGTGTCACACATTCCTCTCCTTTCGAAAGTTTAGGCCATACGAATGGAACTTCTTAAGCATTAACTAAGCACTCTTACCTTTTTGTCACTAAAGATGGTACTCTTTTCCTAAAGAAGTTGTCTTCTGGATGTTAAGATACGTTTTTACTGCTTTAATCTATTGCAGAACCTCCGAGATCAGTGTATTAGGTTGTTGAGCATTGTTCCAGTATTTTGTTCGACCTTTTCTAATTGATTGTATGAAAAATCAACAGAGCAAAGTAGTTTAGATTTATGCTGCCACCGTCTCCTGGTCATTTCTCCTTCAGTAACTAAGCTACATAGATAGTTGCTACCTGCATTCTGAAATGAAACTATGATGCATCCTGGAACTCATTTTCATATTGAGTTCAACTTCTATGCACCGGCGATATTAAGTTTTTCATACTATCAGGTCATCAAAAAGGTAATTACAGCTAAAAGTGGAATTGGTAACCTGAAAAATAAGGCGACATTCTATAGCAAGAGTGCAGAATTTTCATTACACAGTTAGTAGATACAAGTTAAATCCTTTCGCATTTCTAACACGAACCTGCTTGTTTATCCAGAATATTGTCAAAAGTATGCCAAACCAGAAGATGTTGGAGCTGTCCCCGAGGAGAAGTCGAGTGATGACGAGTTAAGTGAAGCTGAATATGACTCAGATGATGAGGCAATGGCAGGCCCTGTTGATCCATAATACCTCCCTCATCTCCATTACTATCTGTAAATCATGTTGTTTGTCCTGTTGTTGAACTGCATAGTTAAAAAAAATTATTGATTGTGAGGAGGGATCCTAAAGAAGTTGCCCTCTTCTGTTAATGTAAATAAATTTCATGTTTGATTTCCTTCATGTTCTTTTATGTGTGTGTTTCGCGTGTTTATATTTTCCTATTGAGTTTCTTCATTAAAGCTCGATATTTATTAGCGTTTTATACTTAAAAGCCTCAATAGACCTTCGAGCTTTATTCGCCTTTGATAACACTGAAAATAAGAGAGTAAGAGCAGGTTATCTAACATCTGCCGATCTTCTAAACTACTGCATGATTTTTAAATTAAGAAATTATTTGATTTTTTTAAATTAAAATAATATATTACAATTTGATGATTTTAGAACAAAAATTACTTGGTCACACATAAAGTCACTCACTAGCTAGTTGTAGCATTCTACCAAAATGCTTCCGCACGTGTCTATTACATAGATAAGTTAAATCATATAAATAAAATAATTACATAAAAATGTCTTAATGTATTACAGAAAAAATATACTTCCAGCTCATATTTTGCAATAGTTTTCTCCCAAGTTCACAAGTGTTATTTTTTTTTTATAAATAAGTTAATCACATAAAAGGTGTATCACGTTAAAAAAAAAGCATTAAAAATGTTTCCGCCCATGTTCATAAGTGTCTATTTCATTAATAAGTTAATAACCTAAAAAAATCTATCACGTTAAAAAAAAGACATTGAAAAAGTTTCCGCCGGTCTGTTACATAACTACGTTAATCACATAAAAAATCTATAACAATTTTATTTTATTTTTTTAAAAAAAGAAAAAAATTCCGACCTGCCGGATTCGAACCAGCGACCTAAAGATTTCAGTAATACCACTACAGTCTTCCGCTCTACCAACTGAGCTAAGGTCGGGCCTATTAGAAACTGTCTATATTTAATATATATCGCAATCTATCCTTCTCTCATACTAGCTAATTTTCCTTTTTTTTTTGTTCAACCTGTTCCAATTTAAGGTATGTTTGGTACGAAGGAAAATAATTTCCTAGAAATGTTGTGTTGAAAAATAATGTGAATTTCTTAATTATTTTTTAGTATTTAATAAGTAAATAAAAAATATTATTTTAATTGTATCTATATGTTATTTAGATGGGAAGTGGAGGTTCGGGGGTGAGATGATCATGTAATTATCTAGTTACATGTTCTCATTTAAAAATGATATGAAAATTTAAAATTACAACTTACAAGATCCAAAAAGTATTTGAGGGTATTAAAAAGTCTCTTATTTTATATATATATATATATATATATATATATATGTGTGTGTTATATAAACCTTTTAATTAAGATCATATATTGAACAATCCTTCTTATATTTTTAAATTTTCGTATCAAATTTTAAACTATGAAACATTAAATAAAATGGACGAAGCAATAAAGTAACTATCAAATTCAATACTCCCTTATAAACGATGTACAACTTATTATTAATCAAAACATATTAAACGCTTTGTTCTATATAATCCATAATAAAAGATACATGAATCAATTACTTTAACACAATCCAAATTATTCATGTAGTACTTATTATATTTGATTTAGGGGACCATTTTATATTTTCTCTCTCTAAACCATGTTATGTGGTCCATGCATGTTATATCAATCATTGATGGATTGTTTGATAGAGTGCATTAAAAATAATCTATATAATGCACGTATTAGCTTTGTGTATAACTATCTAGTGTCTTATTTGATATTAGTAATGAAAAAGATTTTAATTTATGCATTAGCCTGATTAAAAATATTGATATCAGCATAACTAATACAAACATAACTAATTATGCCATCATTACTAATACACTATATTTAACACTATCTTATACACTCTAGGACTCTCAAGTGTTTTAACGAAGTCTGAAAATGAAAATTATTAAAAAGTTGGAAGCTAAGATATATTTATGATGTAAGTCATGTATTAATACTCTTAAATGTTATATTAACTAATTTGGAGAAATTATGTGTGACGAGTACGAAGATGGCCGATAATGGTTCTCATCTTGAAACCAATGAATAATTTATAAGAATATCAAATCCTAGCCACTCAAGTTACATCTCTTTATTGGGACATCTGTTCATTCTTTTTTTACATATTCAAACTATCACAATCCCATTTTCTCTTGCTGCAGATTATATGAGTCATTCTCACTTTGTCTCAAATATCTTCATTTCTTATTATCTTATATCTCCTAGTATATCCACATATCTACCACAATATAGTCCTTTCCGCAACTCTCACATTTTAAATATGAAATTTCTTAACTAACCAATTAACAATCTGCCCCGTACAACACAATCAACTTTATCATCACTTTGTAAAACTTAGCTTTAAGTTTAAGTGGTACATTCTTATCACATAAGACTCCAGAGGCGAACGATGTATTATGCATTATGTATGAGTATGACATTTGCCTGTCTTGCCAACCATATACATTATCATACAAGTCGAAACAAACAAATCAATTACAAATTGATATTTCTTTTTTTGTTGATGAAAATAGCGATGAGATATTTCTTTGATGATAATATATTCATATAAGAGAATTTTTTTAAAAATGGAAAAAAAAATCCGACCTGCCGGATTCGAACCAGCGACCTAAAGATTTCAGCAGTACCACTACAGTCTTCCGCTCTACCAACTGAGCTAAGGTCGGCTTTGATACTACTAGTGCTACAAAACCATATAGTTATTAGATCATAATAACTACCATTGATAGTACAAGTTTTTTTTTTCTATATGTAAATTCAATTTCATTTGGTATAAAATTTTAAATAACCATATATGTTATTAAGTAAAACATGTTTTGAAGTAACAAAACTAAATTACAAATTTCTGCAAATGATAAATGTAATTGGATAGTGACGACAATGGTGTGGTTGCATTAGAATAGTCCGTTCTTACAATCTTTGATCAATATATTATTTAGAACTTCGAAAGATGATCAAGGTAGCTTGCTTCAAAGCTATTGCATTAGATATATATGTAGTCAACCCCTCTCTCCTTTACTAAAATACTACTCCCTCCATTGCTATTTATAAGTCGTTCTTACTAAAAATAGATGGTCCTTAATACTTGTTATTTCACAAAATCAATATATAAATAACACTATTCTTCTTGTTTTACCCCTAAGAAGTATGAGTCTTGAAAGTATGAATTTGACTAACATAATAAAACTAAATAATTAATTCATGTTCATTGGTCAATTTAATTAATCGAAATAATTAATTTATGAAAAAAACTTGACTTCAAAAGAACACTAAATAAGAGTACAATAATAAACTTACCTAATTTCTTAAGGAACGATAAAATCTAAAATGGTGACACCGAATAGTTTAAACTCAATATAATTGAATATTGTTCAAACCTATAAAGTCAACAATCAAATAATTAGTCACACGATCGTAATTATGGTAATAAAAGAAAAAGGTTCTTGAAGTAGAATAAAACAATTTATTTTTTTTAAAATGGAATAACTATATACTGTGCAATTATTTTTTACATTATTGTATGTTTGCTGCATGTTTTTTTTTTAATCTTCCCATTAATATTATGAGCTAGCAATTCCGTGGTGTAATGTTTGGAATAATCAGAATAGAACGAAAAAATGTGTTTAGTATAATGTTGACTTTAATTAGAACTTGATCTTCGATTATATGTAAATGAAAAGGTTGATGGAACAATTGGAAAATTAATCAAAGAGTTTAAAGTTTAAACGGTTAGAATTGATATATATTTTGTATTATATATAATATATGTACTATGACAATGCTAGTTTTGAAACTCAAAAAATAAGTTGATTCTAATTCAATGAATCTACTTTCTTGTATCCAAAGTAAAGGACAATTTAATATTTTTTTATTAATTTAAATTACTCACCGTCATAGGAATCATTATAAGAATTATATTGAGTTTAAAGAGTAATCATTCAATCTTTTATGGACATTTTGATATCCAATTTTGTAGTACTTAAGGACTCTCACTTTTATATTGTTGTTAGTTATTTTTAGTCACAGAAATAAAAAAACTCTAACCGCGAATGACCTTCAAGTAACCAACAAGAGCCGCCCATCTAAAGCGTACAGAGCCCGGACCTCAAAGCGCGGATGAATCTCCCAGGGCGTTAGGACGTAGTAGGCCGTAGCCATAAGTGTGTCGACTCCATATATAGATGATAAGGCCAGACCTTTAATCGACGAATAGTAGGGATCAACTCTGTAGAGGATCATGAGCAACATGACCAGACCTTTAATCTATGACTAGAAAGAGTTGTCGAAGGATCTAATGTTAACAATCATCAAAACCACCGTGGAACAACCTCCACTGCCAAGTAATCAGTACAACACTCCAAGCTCAAACCAACTCCAATCCCAGGTCGCCTAGTGTCACAACCCAAAGTATATTCTAGACGGGACATGACGTATAGGACCCTGAGAGGGCCCTATACAAGCCACTTGACATACATACACTACAATAGAATATACCATAAGAGAGTTTGAGTAAGACGTCTCATATGTGGAATCACAACTATGTCTTGACAAACCATTACCAAACATCATAAGAGTGGCTGGAACATAACCCATACACCACGTACAAAGTCTCAAGAGTAAACAATAAAAGTAATAAATCATCTTCATGGCTTTGTCCTCGGAGTATGAGGACTCACCAATCAAATAGCGAATAGCAATCTGAATCAAGCTAGCCACGAATAGGAGGAGGAACGTCGGATCCTATATTATGAAACAATATAAGCACAAGTATGCATTAGTATATTGAATGTACTAAGTATGAGGAAATATGCATAAATGTAGAAATAATATCTTAGTAGGCTTGACACATGTAATGCATGACCAAGTGGAACATTAAAAAGCTTAGAAAGCAAAGTCACTAAAACCATGAGACAAGGAACTTACCTTGAACTTTCACTTTTCCTGCAGCCACAATCACCACTGAAGCAAAATGTGCCAATCTGATACCTCATTAACAGATTTCAATGGTGACTGATCATTCATTATCTTCTTCATAGAACCTGAATAGATATGGCATATGCTGAGATTCTTCTTATTTCGTACATGTTGGGAGAGGGGAGGAGTCAGACATTAATACTGTGAGAATGCGATAAACATACCTATTATCTAACAAAATTATATTGAGTGAAGCACCAAACTAACAACTTACATTCTAACAGTTCCACAATTTCATAGAAGTTAATTACCAAGTCTTGATGAGAGTAGATATCAGACTTTATTCGTCAAAAAAATTTGCAGAAACTTACATGGAGAATAAAAAGGCAAACTCAGCCATGGAAAGACAGAGGATCGTGTAGCTTCTCATTGAGCACCGTGTATACTTTGAGTGATTTGATGTTTCATATGTAGACTTCAGTTCCCCGAAAAGGTTGTTTAGTACCCAAATACTCATGAAACTGTTTCGCGATGAGTCTACAACTGAAGATTCTGTTCGTCATACAAAATAAAAGTGGTGGTTCCTCTGTGAAACATAACAAACCGTGTTAAACAGTAAAATTGTTTCATGAGAGAAAAGGAAGGCAAACAAAGAACTTGACACACTTGTCATAGCAGTCCTCTAACAACTAAATAAAAATACCTAACGTGATTGCTGCCCATGGATTTTGACTTGATATATCATAACGACGTTTTACGTGGCCTTGTATCTAGTAACCTATGAGCAGAAACATAAATTTTCATGATTAAACTTTTTTAAGGAAGGTAATATTGTATTCATCAACATAGACCCCTTCGAAAATCGGTTCCCAACAAAAACGAGTAGATTACAAAGTGCCGATAAATTCTAAATAAAAATTTACCTAATGTACTTGCCTTCCGCTCATGGGATTTGGCTTGATTTACCACATCGACGTTCTAGCCGTTCTAGCATGACCTTGGAACTAGTAACCTATAAGGAAAAAAAGCATATTCGGTTCAAGTGGACAAGCATAATGCTGAAAGCATTGCACAAATGCAATTGATTGAATAATTTTGCATTTTTAATGTAAAAATAATTGCAGGAAAGAAAAATTAAATTACATACAAAGCTTTTTTCTCTGGAACTCATGGAAAACAATATTTAAAAAATCGACTCAGAAAGTGAAAGAGAAACAGAGACTTACGTCTATCCTGAATTATCTGACTGCCTAGTTCAATTTGTGGAATATGGGAAATGTTGGACCACTGGGAGTTTCGGCCACTCCTATTGGTGCAACTTTCTTCTAACCGTGGGCAGCCATAAATGTCGAGGTACCTTAAATTGGTGAGGCGTCGCATGGAATCTCTGGATGGCAGACGCTCTAGTTTTTCGCAGTTCTGCAAAGTTACATGTTCCAAAGAAGCAAGGTTGCCAAGCCCATCCGACAGAGCTTCTAACAATGGACAATCATTCATGGACAGATACCGTAATTTGGGCATGGCATCTGAGAAGTCCACATGTCGTAGCCGTTTGCACCTCGTAAGTCCCAATGATTCAAGAGAAGTAAGGTTGCCAAATCTATGAGGAAGAGCCTCGATTCCGAAATCATATATACGGATGTCTGCTAAGGAAGAGAGTTGCATAAGCTGATAGGGCAGAGAATCCCAGTGCAAGTGTCCCCACAAGTTCAATGTACGAAGGGACAACAGCTGCTGAATGCCATTAAAAATCAATTGGAATGCCTCAAAATCCACCATCTCTGAGAAAGGACCGATTCCCAGATTCGTTAACCCAGTGAGATGGTGAAGGCCCCCTGAGGGTAAACTAATCAATTTGGGACATTCTGATATATCCAAATAGGAAAGTGAAGGCATTTCCCCCACATGTAAAGGCAAGGAAACCAAGTTCTCACAACGGTAGACACACAAAACCTCTAGAGAACTGAAATAATTCTCTCCACTGGGAACAGGAACAGAAGTTAAATTGGGGCAGTCGGATATTTGCAAGTTCTTAAGATTGTACAAGCTTTGTGGCAATTCACGAAACTCTCCACATTTTGAGACTGATAGGAGTTGAAGAGAAATGTTGTTGCGTAGCATCTCATCGGGTATACAAGTGAGCTCTTTCACGTGATCAACAAAAAGATCCACAAGAGATGTTAAGTTGCTGCACAAGTTCAACAATGGCAATTCACTGTCAACTCTTTTGATTTTTAATTCACGCAGGATTTCAAATTGAGTTGGAGTACTTTTTAACAATGGACAGCCTGTAATCGTCAACTTCTCAAGCCTAGGAAACATTCTTACTCCAACTTCATCTCCCTTCCACTCAATAAGGCTACGCATATTCTCTAATACTAGTTCTTTCAATGACGGGAACACATGGATATTGCCATTATTGCTGCTTGATCCATTATCATTGATCTCAACACCATAAAATGTAGGTCCGATGCATTTCAATTCAAGGAATCCTATCAGCTCAAGATGCCGAAGGAACTTCAGTTGACCAAGAGATGGAATTTCTTTACACCTTTCGCAACCACTTAATATCAACTTGACCAAATTTGGTATCAATTCTCCTTCAGTGAACCATGAAGGAAATATAGTCCCGAAATAGTTCACCACTTCTAAGGTTTTCAAGTTAGAATGTGGTTGAAGACCATCCAACACATGCTCATGATTGATCTCACAGCCTTCTGATTCATTAAGGGACCATAAATATGCCAGCCTGTAGATATTTGGTTTCTCCTGTAAATATGTTGTTCGAGCCTCTTCTTTATTTTTGACTAATTGGAGACATCTGATTGTCAATTCACCTCTAAGGTTTTTCAAACGACCTAATTCTTCTATTCGACAACCCTTCTTTAAACCTACATTGAAAAACGGTAGCGTCTGAAGACTAGTCAATTGCCCCATATTAAGTGGCATGTGAATACCTAATAGGTCATGCCAGTTGCAATCTATGTGTCTCAAACTTATCATATTTGCCATTTCTTCTGGAAGCTTCCAGAATGAAAAAATGTTTTTGACTCTAAGTGTTTGCAAATTGTAGAGCTTGCAAATGGAGTTGGGCAAGGCTCTGATCTTAGTGTTGGAGAGATCAAGATATCTCAAGTATATTAGCTTGCTGATTTTGGCTGACAACTCCATGATGCCTGATTGGGACAAATTTAAGACTCTCAAGAACTGAAAGCTCAATAACATATCATCAGATATATTGCTTTTCCAGAACAATGTGCACAAACGTCCTGGCTCATTTATCATATCCATTTGATCACTTGGTGAGACCCATCCAAAGTATCGAACTTGAGAAAGTTTTTCTCCATCATTGCCCTTCGGATCAAATAGTTTAGATTTTAAGATATCTCCAGCCAAATCATGCACAAGATCGTGCATCTTACAGTATGTTATATTGTTGTGCTCATCTAGCTCTTGCAGCAAGGAATTACGCAACAAGATTTGGAAAAACTTGTGCCCAACGTCTTCCATCACGGTGATCTCTTGATATGGATGGAGAAACCCTTCTGCCATCCAGAGTTGGATAAGTTGGTCCTTTTCAAACAAGAAATCTTTTGGAAACATTGCAAAGTAAGCAAAACATTTTTTTAGATACGGTGATGGTAGATAAACATAGCTGAGTTTTAAGATTTTCTTTAAGCTATTTTCTCCATTATCATCTTCACCAGCAACAAGGGGGTTTCCATCAAGAATAGACCACCATTCATGTTTCTCCTTGTTGCGCAAGAGGCCTCCCAACACACTTGCTGCCAACGGTAGACCTTGACACATTTCAACAATCCTGTTCTTCACGCTCACTATTTCCTCCGGAACTGCCCCATCAACAAATGCTCTTTGTTTGAAAATCGACCAACAATGATCTTTTGTTAATTTTTCCAACATATGAGGACCTACTGCTGCTACTGTGGATGCCACAAGTTTCATACGAGTCGTCACAAGAATGCAGTTTCCTCTGGAAGTGTTTATTCCTCTCAAGCTGTCCATGAACTCATCCCACACTGGAAGGTCAACACGCCACAAATCATCTAAGACAAGCAAATATCTTTTTCCTCCTAGTTCATCTCGGAGTTTCTTCACTATTATATCCCTGGTTTGGACCTCAAGTTTTCGCTCCGTCATTGATTGGAGGATCTGTTCAAGAAAGCTCTTAGTGTCTGACATTTCAGGTAGGCACAACCAAACTCTCTTTTCAAAGTGTTTTTCGATCTCTTCATCATTGAAAATTCTCTTAGCAATAGTAGTTTTCCCTAAACCCCCCATGCCGACTATGGGAATGGCGCACAGTACAACTTCCTCTCTCATGTTCAACATCTTCTCCTTAATTTCAGCAATATCGTTGTCTCTACCAACAACATCTGAAGCAACTACTAAGGAATCTGTTTCTCGAATCATCGGTACTATTTGCTGAGAAGGAACTATGAGTGATTGGAGACCAAGGTCTTTGGCTAACTGATTGATAGCCCTCAACTCTTCATTTATGTTTTTGATTTTTCGAGATATTTTGCTTATAAAAGCAGGATGAGAAAAGAATCCACTGACCTTTCTTATTGGACTGTTTCGGACTTGTGCTTTGAGAGATTCATATGTGAATTCATCAAGCACATTTTCAGCATCTTCAGCAACTCTCTCAAGCCTCATGAGCCATTTTTCCACAGCCTGATCGTTGTCAACTTGTCGTCTTTGAGCATCATGAATGAACGCTTGAATGATGGATACATCTTGTGTCATTATTCTAAGATGTTTGTTGCAATCCCTTGAGCTACTGACTTTCTCAATAGTGAGAGAAAGCAGCTTTTCAAGCAAAACTTGAACTGTAGCACCAATTACAGGGTCAGCCATTGTTGCGTTTGCTTCGTCTTTTTCCTCCTTCACCAAAGTCTTCTCAAGGTTTTGGCACAAGTCTTCTTTTGCTAGTTGTTTATAGACCACTAAAGGAAACGCAATAATTTGATTGTAGAATGCTTTTTGGGTGTTAGTTGTGTTTTGTTTTTCTTTTTCTAATGAATGGCAGTCACTTTCCAGAGCAACAATTGGTTTGGAAATTTTTTCATAAAATATTACTCTCTCCGTTTCAAAAAGAGTGACCTAGTTTGAGTTGACACAGAGTTTTTAAAAAAATAAAAAAGACTTTTGAATCTTATGGTCCTAAATTAAAGTTATGTCAAATGTACTAAATTGTCCTTTAATCTTGTGGCCTTAATATGTCATATGGAAATCTGAAATTAAAATGTTACTAAAAAAGGAAAATGTCATTCTATTTTAAACAGACTAAAAAGGAAAGGAGATCATTCTTTTTTAAACGAAGGAAGTATTTACTTTATAACTCAGAAGTAAGGCTGGCAAACGGACCGGTTTTTGTCCGGTCCGGTCTGGTTCCGGTCCGGTTCCCGTACCGGTAAGACCGGTACCAGTTGAACCGGTAAGGAACCGGTCTTAAGGGTACCGGAACCGGTACCGAAACGGAACCCGGATTTTTATCCGGTTGATCCGGTTCGGTAAGAACCAGTTCCGGTCTGGTTCAACGGTCAAATTATTATTATTATTTTTATTTTATTTTTAAATGTGAACGTTAAGGAGTCGTTGGGCTGGGGCCCAAAACGGCTCCAAACAGCCCCCC